ATATAAGTAGGCCAATCTGAAAGGTAAATCAGATTGTAGATTTAGAGTAAGTAATTTATATTGTATAGATCTGAATACATTAGTTACAAACTGTTTAATTAAAAATGAATATTGAAATGAACCCCTTAGAGAAATTACTTCAAGAGGAATTGGGCGATTTACCTCAAAAATTACAAACGACATAATATAAAATAAATAATGAAATGAGCTTTCCTTTAGAGAGGTTATTCCAAGATGGACATATTTAAATCTTCTATATATCTATAGACAATTTAAGAACGTGTAGGGAATTTTGGAAAACTGAAATTCTCATTGAAAAATCTAAGTAACTCCAGAACGATAGAACAATTATTTCTAATAGCGAATCTATTTTTTTGCTGAGAAAGTGGATGTTTTGCCGGTATTTGATCTTCTCACTTTTTTAGCCCCTTTCGGTCCATCACCCTCTTTGCTATAAGGATCAAAAGACCTCTTTTTAGATTTATCTTTACGAGAATTATTTCTAGAAGAATCGAGTAATATTTTGTTTGCATTGTCGTAATCGAAAGCTTCTTCTTTCCCAAGTAATTTATTTTCTCTCTTCAGAACTTTTTGTTTTTGGGTGTTACGAAGCGTAATAACTTCATTAGGATCAATTTCTTTCGTATTATTAGAAATTAATGAATCTTTTGTAGGATGAAGATTTTGTATCTGTTGCCTCTCGGGATCTTCATGCTGCTCATCTTGATAAGACATCGCAGGTGATGCTATAAATGGAACAATTTGAAGATTTTTCGATGCATACTCTAGCCTGAATTTGTAATCTTCAGAAGTATGATTTATAGCTTTATTTTTTTCTATGTCATACTCAACTGAAAACAGTTCGTAGTCTTTATTGAGAATTTTTGAAAACAATGCAGATTTATTGTTTAGTAAAATACTACTGTCATAAAATAATAACCTTTTATGACGTGCATATAGGTCTTCAAATACTCTTGAATGTGATATAATTTTTTCAACGTCATTATTACTAATATTCAACTTTTCATTATCAGAAGCCTTTGATATGTCACTCCACTTATCGACTAAATCCCAGTCACTTTCTGCCATACTATTTAGAGTATTTTCAATCAAGTTAGCCAAATCCTTAGCATTTTGCCTTACATAGTCTGAAACATAATTCGAAACTCCCAAGACTTTTTGTACATCTACTGGTTGACTTAATGATGATAAGCTAACTAATAATTGATTAGACATGATATATCTAACAGATTCATCATCTCTTTTAGCCAAAGAATCTCTCCAATTATATAAAGCTTCGATCAACAGTTTTTTATGGAAAGGAACATTATACTGGAATAATATCGATGAAAACGGTTCTTTGGGGTTATTTGCCATGATAGGACAAGAAACTTTTCCTCCTGATGTCGAAATGGGACGGAATCTTGTATATTCAAACCTTCTTTTCGCAACCTGGCGTGATTCATATAAAACCTCTTGTAATCTATCTGCCCCCGAGTCTATCAATTTATTCCTTAATTGATCATAGATATTTAATAAAAAATGCGTATCAGATCTTGCGTATGCTAGCATTGGAGGTGATAATGGTCTAACTCTCCAATCTGCTAGCTGGTATTTTTTCGAGGTTTTAAAACCTGCGAATGTCTCTAACAAGTAAGCTAGAGAAAACTTTGGAAATCCGAGCTTTTTAGATGCATGGTAAGTATCAAATAATGAAACGACATATAGTCCTAAGTCTCTTTGTAACCAAATAATATCCATAAATGCACCGTGGAATATTTTAACAATGTTAGGGTCAGTAAAGACTTTATTTAAACCTTCTAAATCATCCCTCAATTTCAAAGTATCGATAATCCAATCCTGATCCCTACTGGAAATTTGCATAAGACAAACTATACCATAGTAAGACCTATAATCGTGATGTTCCAAATCAATTGCAATTTCAGATTGCTTAGATAATAAAGATATCATTTCATTTAATGCATCAACTGTTTCTACCCATATGGCTGACGTATCATGCCATGGTCTTGAAGGTATAGGTTCTTTCTTAATCAAAACAGAATCTGGATAAGGTTGGTGGTCGATTTCAAATTCGTACGGTTGAGCGTAATATTCTGGATCAAAATCTTCTGAATCTTCATTCTTCGCGGGAACAATTAATCTTGTAGATTCTTCAAATGATTTCAATTTGTTAGGTTTGGTCGTGATCTTAGGCTTGAAAGGATGCGTTTCAGAGTTATCAACTTTATTACGAAAGCTAATTTGAGGCTTCACCATTCTTTTTCCTTGATTCTTAGTAGAATTATCATTAACAGCATTGTTATCCTCCAAGTAAATAAATCCTTTTGCGTCATTATTCAGTTTTCGTGAATTTGCATTTTGGGCTTGATCAAAGGCGATATCGATCTTCTCAAATATATTATCAAGAACATTTGCTATAGGGTTCCAGTTGATATGCGATGATATATTATCCTTTCCAAATGGTATGTCTTTTACATCGTCAAATGAACAATGTATGAGCTTATTAGAAATATCCAATAGGCTTTTGGCAGATACGTCGATCTTAGAAGACAATTCTGAATCCAATGATTTGTAAAAATTAACATCCTGAGCTGCTAATGAAGAGGAGGCTCTGACAGTCTGCACAACATTCGGTAATAAGTCATCAAAAGTGCCTATACTAGGTTTATCAGACATAGTAATATTAGGATTTTAGGTTGTTTATAATGTTAGTAAGGAAAAGATTTTTATAATTATATATGGCTCATCTGCGAATTTTTCACGTGAGCATCTTGATGCTCATTGAATTTTTTTTTAACTTGGCTCTACAACTAGTATATAGCTAGTCCTTCTTATAATTCAACAGGGTCATAATGCAATATACTTGTAATTCATGTAATTTGGCCTTTCCATCTCCAGAGGACCAAAGGGTTCATATGAAATCGGATTGGCATCGTTATAATTTAAAGAGGAGAGTAGCACAGCTACCACCAATTGATGAAGACCTATTCAATAGCAAAGTATCGTCATTATCTATTACTGAAAGTGGAGCAGATAATGTTAATGAGGAAAAGACGAAGAACAGGACGCAATTAACTAAAAAAGAAATTAGAAGAAGAGAAAAGGAAACCCTTCAAGCAAAAAAGAGACAGATTTTAGAGACCGCAAAAGAAGCAATGATTTCGAAAATGAAAGAGCAAGATAGAGATAGCAACAGTCCTTCAGAGAGTATACAAGAGAATGAATTAATATCAACAGAAGATACGAAACTTGACGACAATAAACCGGAGACTAGTAATGAAATAACACCTGAGCAACAAGAGGAACTTTTGATGAAGGAAAAACTCTCGAATAAGGTAGAAATACCGGTAACTACATGTTTATTCTGTCATTCCAAACAAAAATCAAACTTTGAAGATATCGAAAGTAACGTTAAACACATGTTCGTTAAGCATGGTCTTTATATTCCAGAAAGAAAATATTTAGTTGATATGGAAGGTTTAATCAAGTATTTGGGAGAAAAAATTGGTCTAGGAAATATATGCCTCTGTTGTTCGTATCAAGGTAAGAATATTGAAGCTGTTAGAGAACATATGCTCATTAAAAGACACATGAGGTTGCCTTATGAAACAGAGGATGAAAAATTAGAAGTTTCAGAATTTTATGATTTTAGTTCAACTTATGATGGTAGTATTGACGATAAGTCTGTGAATGAGGAAGACTGGGAAGATATTTCAGACAACGAAGATCAAGAAGATGGAGAAAGCGATGAAGAACTATCTCCAGCTGATAATGCCCTTTATCCAAATGGACATGAACTAGTATTACCATCAGGTGCGGTCGTTGGACATCGTTCGCTTGCAAGATACTACAGACAAAACTTAGCGCCTGAACGTGTATTATCAGAGGGTCAAGGTACCGTCATTGCAGCAGAAACAAGACATATGTTGAATATTAAAGATAGAGAGGTCTTAGCTACACAGAAGAGAGCATGGGGCAGAGAGAAGAAAAGGGAGGATATTAATGATAGAAGAGCTGCTAAGTTCGTTAATAACCAACCATACTACAGAGATCAATTATTACAATAAGTGTAAATTTATAGTATTTTTTCTAGGTACAGTGAATATATATACAAGAAATTTTCTTTTTAATTTTAACATAAAGCTAAAACAATTGATGCTGAAATTGTGTCAATCAATATATTAGTTAAAATAGTCCAGCTGGCAAAAAATAATAATTTAGGTGAAAACACTGACCAGATAAATAAATGAAATCTTAAATTGAAACATGAAGCAACTAAATTTAAACCGGCAATGGAGTAAAAAAATAAACTTGCCAAAGATTTAACGTATAGTATTTGGTATTTTAAGAAATTGAAGTTGATAAGGTCTCTTGATGAGTTTTTAGTATGAAAACAAAGAACGTTATTTTCGAATATCAATTGTAAAGAAGCCAAAGACCAGAATATTGGTCCTGCAAAATTGGAAAAATAAGTCAATATCCCTACTAAAAAAACATCGTATGACTTAAACCCATTGTATGAATTTGATAAATCTACCGTCGCCAACAGGTTAGTATTTCCCATAGAAAAGAAAGATAGATTTTGCAAGCAAAGAGAGAATAGCGTAACAATTATCATTAATTGATCAATATTCTTCCGTAAAACAACTTCATTATTAGCCAATAACTTTGCCGCCAGAAATTTGACTAAATAAAACAGAAGAAATATTGGAACAATTTCTGGCCTTGATTGATGCATTAAAAAAAGGGTGAAAATGTTCGTTAAGTCAGTTATTAGGCCATAATTGATATTTCTAATTTTCCCTAAGATAATTCGAGCCAAAACTAAAACTCCTATGCTATAGAACAAAATCTTCGAGAGATGAATATTCAATTCATGTAACTGGTTTTTCTCGCTTGAATTAATAGTGATTCCATATGATTCACATGTCCAATGTAAGAACACAAGTAACCAATTCGGAACAGGTTTGCCATCGTTAAAATATTGGCATAGCTTGAACAGAAATGAAATCGTGCAAGTAACAAAAGTAATAATAAATGTAGCTAAACTTCCAAAGTCTTGTACATTCTCTCTGAATGTCTCATATTCCCTCAATGTGACGCAATGAATTAGACTTCCTTGAGAGTAAATAAGTACAGCTGTCAAAAAATAAGTTACTATATTTAATATCCATAATAGGTCAACATTTTGCAATAAGTACACCGAGAAGGCATAGGACGTGGTAAACTTTTGGCCCGTGATACTCCACGATCTGATAATTCTTAATCCGGCCAAAATGAGCCAGAAATATTTTGAAGATTTTAACTGGTTGTTAAAATATAATGTGAAAAGACATATTATAATAAAAAACCACCAAATTTGATATTCTTCTTCAATAAGGGACGATGCATGAAAGTGAATAGAATAAAGTATAGATATTCCAATAAAGTACCAGTTAAGCATTGGGTTTATAGCTGCTTGAACTAAAAAATGCCAATTAAATAAAGCAAACACAAGAATCGCAGTTATGACTAAGATGAATAGCCCTATATATATATCCATGTATTTATATTCTGTCGCAGTAGATGTTAATAGGTCTTGAATCTTGTTAAGGAAGTTATAATGTGCATCAATTGTCCCAGAGCCTTGTAATATTTTCCATTCGTTAATTATATCTCTGTCATTAGCATACTTGGCCTCATATATGTTCATGAATTGTACACAATTTTCTATCAAAACTGATTTCTGCGCTTCTGGATTCCAGAGTCCAAGCAAATCCTTAATAATTATACCAAGGTTATTTTTTGGTATTGGAAAATTTAATAAAGCTGCTAATGTAGGAACTAAATCTATCTGATTGATGTGCTTATAATATTTATAGTCACCATTATAAGCTAGAGGACTTTGTAAATCTTTTTCAAGCATTTTGAATTTTGGTGAAGCAAACAATAAACCAGGATTAGTTTCCCCCATTGATGATCCTCCATGATTACCAATTTCATTCATACCATGATCGCCCATTACCACCAACAACGTATTTGAGTCGATAGTTTGTTGATATAACTTTTTTATTACACCATCCATTTCTTCTTGCTTTCCCTTCATAAATTTAGAATTGGGACCCCCCTTATGTCCAATATGATCAAGTCCCAAGTAATGCAAAATCAATCCATCCCAATTAGAATTGAATAAGTCATCATTCAAATGTCTCGTAACGTTATTATCCACATCAGTAAAATCATTGACGAAGAATGAGTTAGTACCTTCGTATTGGTTAAAAAACTTCTCAGGAGGAAACAACTTCAACCATGTGTCGTCACCAAAGAAATTAATTACCTTCAGATTGTTCTGAAATTGGTGTACCCAAGAATCTTGGTTTAATAAGCTCTGCGAATTATCCTTATCATCTGCAATGTTTAAAATCGCATCCAAGAAGCTTGGAGTACCCCCAGTAGTAATTCCCTTCAATCTTGGCAATGTAACCGTGGGTGGATTGGAATAACTTGTGAATGGCAAGGCACAATTATCATTAATTAATTCATGTACAAATTTCATGTGCGAATGGTCCGAGTATAAGAAGTCAGACCTCATAGCGTCAACGACCATTAATATCAACTTATCGAATTTCACTTCGTTGTGCTCCATAAAAGGAGATTGCCCAGAGTGAAACTCATTAAATCCTGGTACTACCACCTTCGAGGGAAAGAAACCTACAAGAAAGATTAAGTACCCAATTATATGCAATAGCAACAAACCAAATAATGCTCCCCATTTTGAACTACTCATATTATATATATATTTTAGTACAACAACCAGATAGCCTGATCACCAGGTTTCCTATGCTCATATGGAACAACAATAATAGTACCAAGCGTGTAATGTTCAAAATAAGTACGGTTAAAAAAAGACTCATGCTTTATATAACATACATACAAACGAATAAAAGGAGATATTCAGATATTTTATATTGGTAGTTTCACAATTTCTTTTATTATAGCCATAGAAATAACCATAAATCTTTTCTATAACCAAACTTGCACTAGACTTTAAACCCTTATATATTTCAATCGTTTGACAGAGAACGTTAAATGTAGCGTTGATGATAAGCCCTTTTTAGAAAGCTGTGTGATTATATAAGCGTAATACAGTAAGGTTATTACGTTAATAATTTATTTTAGAACCAAAGGTTGGGTTGATTGTGTATGAATGTGATTAGCATCAAGCATAAGATGATTACACGATCAAGAAAAGGGTGCCTAAGTTGCAAGAAATTGAAAATTAAAGTATGTACTCTCTAAATTGATCAAATA